ATATATATATATATATATATATATATATATATATATATATATATGTATATATATATATATATATATAAATATATATATATATATATTTAATATATATATATATTTATATATATATATATATATATATATATATATATATATATATATATATATATATATATATATATATATATATATATTTAATATATATATATATTTATATATATTATATATATATATATAATATATAATATATAAACAAATATATAGATAATAATAACCTAAAAAGTAATAAATTAGCATATTGCATCATTAGTTAATACATATCAGTATATCAGATTTTATATATAAATATGGCAAGAAGTAGGTTAACTCTGCAAGACCTATTTTAGAAAAAAATTTGGGTGGTGGTACCCCCTCGTTCAGGCAAACTTTAAAGGAAAATTGGCAGTTTTTTCGCGAAAAAAAACAATATTTGCTGTAAAAATGTAAAAAAAAAAAACATAAAAAAAAGGTCCTCAAATTTTGATTTGGGAGGGGCCCAAATACGGTCGACACTATCAAAAACAGTCTGGAATAACCCCTGCTCTGTCTATAAACAGTTTATTGAAAAAATTTATTTTATTAAAAATTGATTAAATACTTTTATATTTTTTTGTCTAAATATGAAATTTTTGATAAAAGAAGAATAAAATAAACTTAGATTCAATATGAAACTTATTTTTAATGTAAACAAGAAAATAAAAGAAACTAAAATAAAATATAAATATTCAAAAAGTGGGTTTAAACTTTAGTGTAACTCTTTCAAAACCCATTAAAAGTAAATTTTTCTTCAAAAAAATCTTGGTCAGTTTTTTTTTGGCCTATACTGTATATATTTATATACATCAGTTTGAACTTAAAAATAAACTCTCGAACATTACTTGAGATAAAACAATTTGATAAGTAAAAACAAGAATATTAAACAAATTTAACCTCGTAGGCATCAATTTTTAACCTCAATCCGTTTTTATCACAAGTGTTCAACCTTTCATTGAGTAAATTATTTTCAACTGTGTTTAAATATTGTAAAAGTGCTTTGATTCCTGCTTTCACTTCTTGAAACTTTAGGCCTGCATTTCGTAAACTTTCTTTTTGATTTTCAGTATTAATTGTAATTCTTTCCCATCTTTCTCGGAGAGTCTTTAACTTTGACTGTAACATAGCAGCATATGCTTCCTCCCCTCTATTCATAATTACAACGCAAGTTTCAATCAAAGAATCTACTTTTTTTTGCACTGTTAAAATATCTTGTTGCAGCGCCTGAAAAATGCAACAAATAACTAGTTACAAAAGTTAAACACTAAAATACTTAAGGAAATATTGAAAAATTAAAAAATTTAAATGATAAATTTTTTTTTTAATTGCCTTTTAACAAAATGAAAAACAAAACAGTTTTAATCTTAACATTACAAAGCATGAACAGTAATAAAATATTTCAGTAAAACTTTCATTGATAAAAAAAATTAAAAAACTTAAGAGAAACGTTAAGAGACTTACAAAACTTACAAAAGTTTTATTATCAATAAAAAATATTATTTTCTGTTATTTTTTTGAAACAAATGGAAAAAAAATTTTTTTGAAATAAAAATATTTTCTTGATAAAAATTTAACTTTTTATAACTATTTATTTTTATCATTTTTTAAAACTTTACATTTAAAAAAATGTTGTATTCTCAAAAAATTCTCTTTACCTCAACTTCTTGCACTTGAGAGTTGATAGTCTCCGCATCACCTTCTGCAATAGTGCTTTTTATTTCCTCAATAAATTTATCAACATCATCCATCCAATTAAAGGTCTCAGTCATTGCTACATCTAACTCTTTGGTTTGCAATAATGCCTCATTTACACGTTGCAGCCTTGCTTCTGTGATTTTTACACAATCTGTCCATTGTCTATTTAAATCTCCTATCTCTTTACGAAACTTTTGAGCAATTTCAACATTTAAACTTCGCAAAAGTTCATTTTGGTGGTCAAATAAAAATTTCAAGCCAGATTCTTGTTGTTTAAGTTTTTTTAATTTTTCCTAAATTGTTAAATGTAAATAGAAATATTTACTACATTATAAAAGAAAAAAAATAAAACTATAAAACAAATATTAGTTAATACAATATACAAAAAAAATTATATATAGTATATAAAATATAATAGATAAATGATTATTATATAAAAAATAATTTTTAAATGCAAAAGTTTAAAAATTAATTTGAAAGTGCTTTAATAGATTTTAATAATAACCACAAAAATAAAATAATAAAAATTTACTTCTGAGTTTCCAGCCAACATTTTCAACTCAGTTGCTTCAGAATACTTGAATTCTTTACTAACAAATGGGAATACTTCATCAAGTACAGTTTTTATTGATGATATACCATCTGTAAATTCTTGTGGTGGTATACTTTGCATTGTCACCATTACTGATTTTTTTTTTTCCTCCAAAAAAACTTTTGTCGTTTTAAACTTCTGCATTGCGTCTTCCATCTCAATATTGAGAGCAGATTTCAATGCAGGATCAGCTATATTTTGGCACTCTTTTGAGACTTTTTCCAATAATTCAGAGCACGTAGTCAATTCTTTAAGCTTTGTCTGCAAAATTAAGAGTTTACACAAATTTCAAAAAGAAATATTTACTTATAAATAAAGATCCTAAAATATTTCTGAAATTGTTTAAAAAAGAATTATTTTTAAAAATTAAGCCATTTTTAAAAAGAAAAATTAGAAAAAAAAAAGCAGAAATAAATTTAAAAATAAATTCTTTTACTTTTATTTTCAGTCATATTTACCATCTTACTGTTATCAATTCCTTAACCTAACATCATTTATCAATTTCTACAACTATACGTAAAAAAAGTGAAAATTGTGAGAAATATTTTATAAAAATTTTAATTTAGAGTGAAAGGTTCAATACAATAAAAAGGAATCAGATCAGAAATAGTTCGGTATAAGTGAAGAGGATATCTTGAATAAAACTTTTTAAAAATAAATAAATATTTGTAACAATAAAAACATTTAAGACAAACATTTTCATTGAGTTTGTTTTTTAAGATTCAATTATGGATAATATATTAAATTATAGATATGTAAAAAATATAATAAATTATAGATTATTGTAGATAAATTATTATTAAAAATAAGTTTAATATAAATTATTTAACTATAAATTAGTTACAAATACCTTATTAATACCAAATATTTATTTAAAAGTTTTATACAATTTAATAAAAAAAACATATTATTTATTTTAGAAATAAGAAATAAAACTTTAGATTATGAGTAAAAAAAGACAAAACTTATAAACAAAAAGGTAAAGTGCCAAAATTTTATCATTCAAAAAGTTCAACAAAATATTAAAAAAATCTAAAAATTATTAAACTTTCCAGAAAATTTGAGATTTCTATTTAGATTGGCTCATCAAAAGATTTTCATAAATGAATTTTTTAATCTTTATATTAACTTTATATTTTTTATATCTCAAAAAAAAAAAACAATTATTCTCTAAACACAATAACTTTAATTAAATAGAAACAAAAAAGAGATAAGAATTTGAGAAACAAAACAAAAATGAAAAAAATAATAAAAAAAAAAATAATTTATACCTCTAGTACTTTAAATAATTCTTTGGGATCTTTTGCTAATTGTACAGAAACTTTCTCAACATAAGTTGTTATCTCTGTTATTATTGTGAGAACTTTTTGAATTTCAACTAAAACTTTTTTCTTGATGACTGACACTTCCCCTTCTTGTCTAAGTTCATTCACCATTTTCTGCAAAGATTGCCAATGATTTGTAAAATTTAATAAAGATTGTTGTATGCCCATACCAGATTGCCCAGCAGTTAATGTTTGACTCATAAGTTCTTTCCCTGTGTTTGCAAGTTGTGTTATGCTGACTCGACGTTTTGCTATAGCTTGGTGAAGAGACTAAAATAATTAATAAAATATACATTTTAAATATATCTAATACAATATATATATATATATATATATATATATATATATATATATATATATATATATATATATATATATATATATATATATATATATATATATATATATATATATATATAGATGCAATAATAATATGTAATAAGATACGGAAAAGTATAATAAAAAGAGATCAGTATGGAAGATAATATGAGAAAGGTAAAAAAGCTAAGTATAAATTTTATACATAGTTTATATAATTTAATATAATTGGATGCTGTTTAACTTCAGTTTATTCTATAAATAACTTAAATTTTCATATTGCTATTTTTTTACAATTTGTAGATTTTTGTATCATAAATAATACAATTAGTCAGTGACTGAGATAATTCAAAACCTGTGTATGAAGTATTTGTATAAAAATATATATTAAAGTCTCCTCTGATGAAGAGTGACTTTAAACAACCTCTGATGAAGAGAGTGACTTTAAACAACTTCACCATATTGTTCTTCACCTCACTGAAAAACTGTCATTAGAAAACTAATGATTTAAATGTCATTAAAACTAATGATTTCAATGAAGCAATTTTTTTTCTTATTTTCAGAAAGTAATAATGTAGATTATTGGAAAGATTTCTACAGTGGTTTTATTTGAGGTTTGAGAGGAGATCAGTCAATGGATTGACATCGTATTTGATGCAATTGATGCAAGATGATATTAGGATTTTTTAGAATTAGTTTTTTTATTAACTATATTCCCTATATAGTTATTACTTGCAAGATGAAAAGCTATATTGCTTACAACGTTAAAGTAGTTTGTTCAATCAGAAGGTTTAAAAAAAAAAAATTTAAATTTTTTTTTTTAACCTCGACTAATTCTTTTTGTGGATTATTTTGAGGTTTTAACAACATTTGAGCATCAGTGATCCAGTGTAAGTTCTCTTCCAATTCTTTCAAAAATGATTGCAGCTTATTTTCCATAGTTCGTAACTAAATAAAACAAAAAATAAATTGATAAATTAGAAAAAGTAAAAAATATGTTTATTTTGAGAAACATCTTACATGCTTCATCTTTGTATTTAACATGCTTGCAATTTTGTTCCATCTGTTATTAAAATCTTCCATAGTATCTTGAATTTTAATTATAGTAGGAGAATCTTCCTCTAATGTTTGCGCCACAGTTTGTGCAGCATTATTAAAATTTCCAAAAGAAGCTTGTTGGCGTGTTAATTCGATTTCCAGGCTCTGAAGTTATAAAATAATAATATCAATAATAATGTCAGGTGTAAGAAAAAAAAAAAGAAAAAAAAAAACATTATTGAGATAGTAATGATGTAGTCAAATGACCAAACATTTATTCAGTCAAAAAATTTATTTTAAAATATATTTTTAATTATCTATAGAAATTTATTGCAAATTTAATTAAAAATATAAATGATTTAGAAATGCCATGAAGTGATTTTGAAAATATTTAGCTAGATGCTTGGCCAAAGCAACGAATATTTGGCTGCCAAATATTCCGTGACTTAGTTATTATACATTAAACTGTTTATCTATAGTTATGTATAAAAGTCAAACTATACAAAAAATAACCAACTCAGGTATATTGTGCATTTTTGAGGTAATTTCAGAAGTGAAAGTTGGTATAGATATTACACAAAGAAATCCAAACCTATTAAAAATTATGTTTTCACTACAATTTGAACTTAAAGAATGGTTTAACTTTAATGAGAATGTCAGTAATACAGTTGCCTTTTTTTACAGTTGTCTTTTTTATCGGGAGGCTGATTAAGAGCAAATTTCATAAGTGTGATCAAGCATAAGTGTTCACACTTATAAATATTTTTTTTGCGCAATTATGAGAGTTTTAGCAAATTTACTTTATTACTTTAAATTTACTTTACTGACAGTTTGCGAAGTGTCAAAGTGTCAGTTCGCACTTAGACCAGTGTTGTTGCAGTTGCAGTTCATTATAACACTTATGCCAGTTTTGGCATAAGTGCATATGTGTTATAACTAACAGAAACCTGTTAGTTATAACTGTTGTTCAGATAACAAGATAAACGAAAATTGATTAAAACAAATACTTTTTCAGGTTATAAATGAATTATAAGTTATATTGGAACTTTCTATTAAAAAAACAGATAAGTGATAGAGCGTTTGCCTTATAAGCAAGAAATTCCAAGTTTGATTCTCACCACATTCCTGATAGTACTGCACTCAACTTGTTTCTCCACGCAGTGTTCTTGCTCATCAAGGTTCATATTTTAGAGTTATAGAGTTGGAAGAGGATTGTAACCACAATTAAAATAGCCTTCTCGACTGTAGTGGCCTTCATGGCCTTGGGAGGTGAATTAACGTAAAAAAAAATATGAAAAAAAAACTGTTAATACCTACTGTTAAAAACCATATCATATTTACATTTATGTAGTAAAGACAATTTATTAATAATAATCACAAAAGTGTTTTAAATTTTATTTTATAAAACATTTAGAATGCTTTTACATTTTATATGAAAAGAAAGAGAAATTTTCCACCATAAGTGTCATTGATAGAATTTGTAATGGCTATATAACTAAAATATAAATTACTATACAGGGACTGATCCAGCATTTTTGGTGTTTGAGATATGTTTATACTTATATTAAATAAGGATGCTTTGTAAAAAATTCCCATGAATCAAGTCTGGGAACAAAAAAGCCTTAAAATTTTAGCCATAACTGCCTATAACATTAGAGCAACAAGTTGATAAAATATTTTCTTATTATTCTCAACTAAGCTCATATTCATCAAAAAATTTTAAATTTCATGCAACAATCTTTTAACATTCAAAAGTTATGACCATACAAAATTTGTAATCAGGTCGAATACTTGCGATTGCTGAAGATGTTTCTGAATCAAACCTGAATCAAACCATAAGTAAAGAATAATATTTTAAAAAATCATAGTGTGGAAATCAACTTCAAAAATGTGATACATCCAACAGTTCTTTACCCAGAGAGTCTAGATACTCTAATCCCCAGCACTTGGTACCACCTCCTGAATTGCACCTTTTGATCAGAGTTGTATCTACTTTATGATGTATACTATTGGGTATATATACTAGAGTATTTGGACTGAAATGATTAAGTGGCTAAAAAATGAAAATATTTTTCAGAGAAGGATGAGATGAAAATAGTTCCAATAAAATCCTAATTTATAAGCTTGATAAAGTAATACTTTCTTAACTATAGTTTAGTGTAATCCTTAACTATAATTTAGTCTTTGCTTGTGCTTAGATATAAACTCCAGAGTCAGAATGTCACATTTTGCTGAATTAATAATAACTTCTTCCAATTCTAGTGAAAAAAATTCATAATATTAGAATTTTCACACATTGCTGCGTCGTGTTCAGCCCTTTGATAAATACTATAAGTACAGCTAATACAAGTTTGTTTAACAATGTGGAAAAATATTCATTCTAAATTTAAACTTAAATCAATTAGATTTAAATGTTTAGAATAAACATAGAGACGGTGATCCTCTGAGAATAAGAGTTTAATTTAGCATTAATTTTGACACACTTGTCTCTAAACAAAAAAAAGTAAAGGGCAGTGACTATAACCCAGTTGAAATGGCTATTTTCATAGCCGCAAATATTTTTTTTTGTTAAAAAAACATAAATGGCTTTTTTCCAATACTTCTTTTCCAAGAGCTTTAAGTGACAAGAACAACATTTATTTTAGGTATTTATGTTTTTATAATCTGACACAAGGTAATAAAAAAAGTAAGGAGAGCCATATACGAAAAACAACAACAAAAAACATGAGTTCCTTTTTTTTAAGTTTTTTCAAATCATACTGAAAATGTTGCTGATAAAAAAATAATGGGTCAGGTAGTTAGACCTACAAAAATCTCAACCTACTAAGTTGTTCTACAAATAAAACATCTACTAAAAAGTGGAACTAATTTTCAGATAACCTACTGAGGCCTGAATTGTTTTCAACCAATTATAGTCTTTTTTTTTTTTAACCGATTTATGATGTTTTTGTTTTCAACCGATTTATTTTTTGACCTATTTTATAGATTTTCATTTTCGACCGATTCAAGATAAATTAATTTTTAACCCATCATCTGGTCTGTGTTTTTAACGTTATTGTTTTTAAACTAGGAATTTTTATTTATTTTATTAACAATCAATAAGTTTTCCTAGCATTCATAGAATATTATAGCTCCCGATTCTGAAAACAGCGCTTCAACCACTGCGGCAAGGCTGATCGAATTTGGCTAGTATTCAAATCAACAACAAAATATAAAAAATACATCGTTCATCAATAATTTACTACTTGTCTACTTGTCACAAAATTCATTACTAAATAATTAAAGAGTTTTTGTTTCAATAATTCACTTTTACACGTGCTCACTTTTAAATATGACAAATAAGCAAGTTCTTTCAGTGCAAAAATAATTTCCAAAATGTAAATATTTACTCACTAAAAGATAAAATATTGCATTTTGAAATTATACATTTGATGAATCAATAATAAAAAGTTATATTTGAGATTATTGAAAATGATAATAAAAGATTAATGCTCAAAGAAGGTGTGCAGTATGTTACAAACACATAATTCAAAAAGATTCAATATATGAATATTTAGAACGTAATGTAAGACTTGTGCAGCTTCATGTTTTCTGATTGTCATACAAAAAATGAATATTAGCAAATACATTTTTATCATTTTGTGCTTATGTAGTATGATTTATATATTCCTAAACTTGAATAATGACGTTTTGCAATGTTTAATAATGTTGAAAATAGTAAAAAAAATCTTTTTTATTCTATTAGTAAAAAAACACGATGATTTTAAAAACACAGGACATTTAGAGACCACTTCACAAAAAAAAGCTGGACTATTAGCGACCATATTTTAAAAAATACACAGGACTGCTAAAGGGTTAAAGTACAAAAAAAGCCTGGAACTTAACTGTTAAACTTTTAACATTGTTTCACAAAAACAATAATATAAATAATAATAATTTTAAAAGCAATTTTATTACAGTAGTATAAATAAAAGTTTTATTAATAATTCAATAAAATTATTGATAAATTTCTTTTTACTAAAGTAATTTTTTTTGCAACTATTTTTTTCACTAACTTAACGGTAAAGTACCATAAATCAATCTTGTTCCCAAAAAAAGTATATCTGGTTCCTCAAATCAAATGGTAAAAATAAAACAAAAATAAAAAAGCAAAAATAAAAAAGCAAAAATAAAACCTTTAATTTTTGGATTTGCAACTGCACTTCTTTTTTGTCACCCATGTCAACATCTGAAATTTCTTTAAGAGCCTTTTCTTTTTCTGATAACCATTCATTTAATCTTTGTTCTTCATTTCTATATTCCTGCCAACTCTTAAGAACTTCCTGGAGACTGTTCCACCTTTTGTAAATTAGTATTTATTTTATTAAAAAGTTAAAAAACTAGTTGAACAATCTAAAATTTTAAACTTTAACAATTATTTTATGACAAACCGTGACTCTGTCCATTTACATACAAGAGACCATCGTTCCCCTAGAATTCCAAGTTGCTCCTCTAAATCTGCAGTTGCATCTTCAGACTCAGCTTCATCCACTACAACAACCATATGACTGAGAGAATTCACTTGCTGTTGTTGATTTTCAAGATCTTCCTGCATTAATTTGTGTTCCTCAACTTGTCGCTTAACCACATCAATATCAGATCCAATTCGATCTGCACTTTTCATTTTAGCTTCAGCTTTCGTTAACCAATCTCCAAGTTCTTTTAATTGTAACTGTTGAAGCTTCATTAAATGTTGATGAAGACTAAAATATTTAAAAATTTTTAGAAATTAAATATTGTTGTATAATCTACATATTGTTACTAACTTTTTTAATATATTAAACAAACTTTCAAAATAAGACATTTTTTAAAAATTTTGAAAATTTTATAAATTTTTTTTCTTTTTTAATGTAATATTTATTTTAAGGCTAGTTCAAGAAAATGAATTGGTAAATAAAAAATGAAATTTTTGGTGAATACAGTGAAAATGTCAAAAATGAAAAATAAATAGTAAAGGAAAGATAGTATTGATAAAATGATAATTTTTGAACCAACTATTTCACAGAGATACCACCAGCTCAACTGGCGGAGCAGAGAAGGTAGAGTTTTTTTGTTCAGTTTTCAACAGCAAAAGGTGCAACATTAAAAATGAAAGAAAAAATATAAACTATATTTTTATAAACTAAGAAAAAAAATTATAGGTCCAAAACAACAAATAATAACTGGAACAAACAATAAAGATGAATATCAGAAGGATATGTGATGTGACTCTAAATAATATAAAGGGAAAGTTATAATTTAAAATAGAATTCAAAAACAGTGACTTTATCTGATAGGGTGCATTAAAAAAAATTATGGTAAATTTGGCAAGCAGTTCATAAAGATGCAGATAGTAGTGATTGTTTTGTAAGCATGTAGGAAACCAGCAGTTCCAGAAGCATGTAGGAAGCCAGCAGTTCCAGAAGCATGTAGGAAGCCAGCAGTTCCAGAAGCATGTAGGAAACCAGCAGTTCCAGAAGCATGTAGAAAGCAGTTCCAGAAGAAGAAAAAAAAGAGCAAAAAAAAAACTTGGAGAGCAAAAAAAAATATAGGAGAATAAAATTCTTAAATATTACAGTATTACAGTATTAATTATATTACAGTATTACAGTATTACAGTATTGTCCACAATTATTTTTGGGTCCATAATTACTTTTGTTGTGTACACAAATATTTTTGTCGCGACGATAACTATTTTCACAATAAAAATACTTTACTTTTTAAATGTTTTTCGGTAAATATAGAGAAAAAAATCCAAGCATAATTTAATCACATAAACTCATTATAACAACCACTCACGCATGTGAGAATCGCAAAAGAGTATTCAGTAAAACCTCCAAAAATCTTAGTAATAACCATTTCTTGTGGAAATTTATTAGGTCGAGGTTGAATCCCTCTGAAAAACCACACCAAAAAACACAATTAATAGGATTAAGTTAAGAGCTGTAAATTGGTAAAAGCTGGATAGTACAATTACTTTCTTAAATGCTGATTCTACAATTGATGAATGGTGAAATTGCACATTGTCTATTTTTACAACATATCTTTGATCGCTTAAAACTTGTCCTAAATCTTGTTCAACCCACTTGTTCATACTAGCAGCATTAAAGACTCCAACCTTTAGTTTAAAACAAATTTTTACTGTAGCTGAAATGGCACATATTAAGCTAACACTCCTTTCTGTCTGTATGGAGACTGTAATGTTCTTCCCAATAATGCATATCCATAATGTTGTGAATTGTGCAAATTAAAAACATTTTCAACAATATAAACCACATCAGCGCAAAACGCCAACAATGTAAACCACATCAGTGCAAAATGTCAACCTTGTTGCTATTACCTGAGCCACTCTCCTTGTTTTGAATCATCCTGATTGAAAGACCTGTTGCATTTGGGATAGATTGATTTGATTCATTGCTATTCATCATTCTTTTTATTGTAGAAATATTCTCTTCGGTTGCAGTTTTGTTTTGTTTTTGTTTTTTCGGTTTTTTGCCATTCTAATTATTGAGGTTTGTATTGTTTTTGTTTGCTATTATGTGCTATAGAATTTGAAAATTATACAAACAAGCATTTTTTGTTGTGCCCTTATTTCTGCGTGCAGGCACAGGAGTGGAGTTTCTAGAATAGTGATAATGATGATGATGATTATGATGATGATGATGATGATAATGATGATGATGATGATGATGATGATGATGATGAAGATGATGATGATGATGATGATGATGATGATGATGATGATGATGATGATGATGATGATGATGATGATGATGATGATGATGATGATGCATTCAGATTGCAGGATTAGGTTGTACACTACATTACACAATATAGAAAATGAACAGTTTAAAAGTTTACAAATCTTTTACTTATAAAATCTAAATTTGCTCATTTCATTATTTAGATATACTTGACTTACTCAGCTTGTCTTTGCATTGCTGATACACGTAAATTTTCCCATCGTTCACTTAGAATAGTCATTTGTTCTCTAATATCTTTTTCTTCTTTTCCAACCACTATATTTTCATTAATAAGTTGACTTCCAAACTCTAAAACACTTCCAACACTTGCTTGATGTGAAGTTAATATCATCATAAAATCCTAAATCATGCAAAAAAATGTGAAGTTAACTTCATCATAATTTCTTAAATCATGTAAAAAAATATGAAGTTAACTTCATCATAATTTCCTAAATCATGTAAAAAAATGTGAAGTTAATATCATCATAAAATCTTAAATCACAAAAGAATGTCAATTAAAATGAAATTTAAAAAATATTAATAAAAAAAAAAAAGATAACAACTAACTTTTTACAAACAAAAAAAGTGTTGTTTTTTTTTATTAACAAAAATAATTTGGATAAATTAAAAAAAAAAAAAAAAAATTTATTTCATGAAATAACAATATTGATTAAAAAAAAATCATAATATACAAATTTAGCAACAGAAAATTCTAAAGATTAAAAAAATCTTTTAAAACTTCAAAAATATCAAAAAGTCTCAAAAACTATTTACAATGTTTATTACGAAAGCCTTCATATCTTTAAAAATAAGATTTATTCTAAAATGTTTTAGTTATTAAATCTGTTTATCTAAAGTGTATAAAGTACTATAACATAATTATATATTGTATACAAGTATAATTCAACATAATCCTATAATATGTTAATATAGAATTTAACACTGCTACTCCTGCTGCTGCCATTACTCACTCATGCGTGTTTACACAGAACTCTTGGCAGCCTTTACACCTTAGTTAATGGCAAGAAAGAGTTGCAGCACTTTTTGTATAAGAAAATGTTAATGAGTGTGTATGCAAATATCTAACTTATGGCTGAGATGGTCAAAAAAGTGACCAAAGTTCACTGCGCTTTCAAAGTACAACATGAATGTTTGAATCCTGTTGCTTGTACATTAATTTTTTTTTTTTAATCTTTTACAATTTTCTAAAATACTAAAAAAAAAAATATTTTTAAAGTTCTATTGATGCTACATAACATTTATAAAGATATTATGTACTATAACAAACAAAAGAGAACGATATTATATACTATAACAAACAAAAGAGAAAGATATTATATACTATAACAAACAAAAGAGAAAGATATTATATACTATAACAAACAAAAGAGAAAGATATTATATGCTATAACAAACAAAAGAGAAAGATATTATATACTATAACAAACAAAGAAGAAAGAAATTATATACTATATCAAAACAATGGTAAAAATCTTTGCAACAACAGAGATACTTAGATTTTGATTTTGAATTTTATTAACTAAAAATTATTGGATAAAACAACTATATAAAGAATAAGTATAGAATTGGTCGGTATGGAATAGACTTAACATGACCCGTATCATACGAGTCATGGTAAGTTCATTATCACACATTTTTTTAAATGTTTTTTAAACTTTACCAATTTGGGTACTTATATTTGAACGGCTGATAAATAGCAGTTGCTGCAATGAATACCGAAGTGACACATGCAATGAATTTCAAAATGTTAATAAGTTTTTAAAGTTAATTAGGTTATAAAATATTTTTTTATAAAAACTTTAAAAGGAAGAAAATATGCATAGTTTTTCTACTGCTTACTAGAAAATAATAAAATAATAAAATAAATAAAATTGTAATGGTTGGTGTAGAATATCGTGACCTTTTGCACTAAAGTCAAAAATAATTAGTGCAAGAGGTGAAAACAACCTTAGTGCAAAACTTTTAAAAACACAACAATAACCTCTCAAAATAAAAAATACCTCATGTTCTCGAAACTGCTCTTTAACTTTGTCTACATTGCCTGAAACATTCTCTTGATTCTTTAGCTGTGTTTCAGCCTGCTGCAGCCATGTAAGCACTTGTTGCAATGTCTCATTAAAATCGTCCCATTCTGACATTGTTGATACCGATGATGGAGTTGGACTATCTGAGCGAGTGGTCTAAAGTTAAAACCATAGTATTTAAAATTTTTAACTTTATAGCAATAATTTTATTTTTTACTTTTATTATATTTCGGTACTTTTATTTTATTTAGGTATTTTTTTAATTTTCAGTTTAATTATTTAATTATAATCATTTGATTATAAACCACAATAAATACTATATTAGTAATAATAATATAAACACTTAACAATTATTATAACAAAAAGAAAATCTTTTAAAGAAATTTGCAACATGTTCAAATGTTTAAAAACAACATCAAACTTTGAATAAATGCACATTGCACAATCAAAACAACTAAATTATGATAATTATAGGTATTTAATTTTGCAGATTTAAGATAAGATGATACTAATATTTTCTGTAGATTAATATATTTTTTTTAAAGCAAGAAAAAGCAACTTTTTGTCATGTATTTACAAAAGGTATATATATATATATATATATATATATATATATATATATATATATATATATATATATATATATATATATATATAATATATATATATATATATATATATATATATATATATATATATATATATATATATATATATATTTACATATATATATATATAAATATATATATATATATATATATATATATATATATATATATATATATATATATATATATATATATACATCTATATAAATATAAATATATGTATATATATATATATATATATATATATATATATATATATATATATATTATATATATATATATATATATATATATATATATATATATATATATATATATATATATATATATATATATATATATATACATACATATATATGTATATGCACTCATTAACATTAATAACCATAAAAGGAAATTTTATTAAACTTTAAATATTAGTAAATATTTACATCATGTTAAAAAATATTAAATTTATATATCTTAAAAAACAACAACAAACTTTAAAAACATCTCAAACTTTTTTGCAAACCAAATGTAAATATATTTAAATAATGCATGCAAATACTTTTTTTGTTAACTATACTTTCAATGTCTGGTAAACAGATTATAAAAAAAATATATTTATAGTAACAATGGATAAATAAATTAAATAGGTAATAGTTAATAATTAAATACAATTATCAAGTATTGACAGACGAACATTAATTGAATGTAAAAATAGGTATTATAGACATAAAATATATAAAGTATATATAAGGAAAAATAAGTTTTAATATTGAGGTGTTGATAATAATAAAAGATGATATTAGAGGGGTGGTAATAATATTAAGAAGTGTCAATTATTTTTAAATGTTTAAAAGTTATGAAAAAGTTATAATAACTGTGATAAGCTTTTCACATTTCACTAAAAATTTTGTTTCTTTTGCTAAATATTTTGTAGTAGAAGTGGACAGTTTGTTGTAAATGTGGACAGTTAGTTGAACTACAAAAAGATAATAATAATAAATGCAACAACAAACAACATTAATAGTAAAAATAGTAATAACAACAATAATTATAATTATGAATAGTAATAATAATAATTATATGCTAAATTTCATCCAGGTTTACAAATTATAATAATTATATTAAGTATAATTTATTATGATATGCATATGAATATATAAATATATATATATATATATATATATATATATATATATATATATATATATATATATATATATATATATATATATATATGTATATATATATATATATATATATATATATATATATATATATATACATACATACATATGTATGCATATATCATGTATAATTAATAAAGAAAATTAATATTTCAATACCAAACATATTCATCTGCTTTAAACTTGTAAAAAAATATACATAACAGAACTTCAAGTAAAAAAAAAAAATGCTTCTCCCCATTTTTATTTTAAAAAAGCTTTTATAAAAACTTAAAACAGTTACCCACCATAACTTTTTGATTAATTCTTCAAAACTCCACAAATAATAACCTGCTACATATTATAATTCAACTTATATTTTCCCAATTTTACCTTATTCTATCTTCAGTTCTTTAAAAAATTAATTAACATACAATTCTAATAAAATGACTTCAGCGTTCAAGTAATTTAAAAAAATATAATCCTAATATATTGTCATTTAATATTATACTAAAGCTCTATGCAAACACAAGAGAGCAAGAACAATAAAAAATATTCGTATTAGAGCATATTAGCAATACCAAAAATATTTTTGTATTGTTTAAACAAAAGGAATAATCAGTAAAACTTCAAGTAAAACATGCTGAAAATATTAACCATGGTAATGGAATATTATCCTTTGATGTTGATCATTGATAAATAATCTTTTATTTGCAAATAAGATTAAAAACTCTATTTAAAACTATTGATGAGATGGAATTAAAAAAAAGTCAATGTACAAATACTAATTATCACATTAATGAAAAACTATGAACAAAAACATTCAATAAATTAAAGATTAAAAAAAAAAGTTTTTAGTGTGTGTGAGTATATATATATATATATATATATATATATATATATATATATATATATATATATATATATATATATATATATATATATATATATATATATATATATATAGTTATCTTTATAAATAAGACAAATTTTTTTAAATTTTTCTTTAAAACCATATTTAATAAAATCAATACATATTTTGACTTTAAGTCATCAGTTAAAATGCAATTTAAAATTTATTATAAAAAAAGTTATATAGGTACAAAATAAAGTGTGATAAAAGACAATAAAAACAGTGTAATGTACAATTATAAAACCATTAACAAATTTAACAAAACCCAGCAAATCAGATATAATAAAAAGAAAACAATAAAAGACTATACATATACATGCAAGAATTTTACTAATATAGGAAAATATATATTATTTAATATACAGAAACACATTCTTTTGAACATTTATGTTCATATTTGTTACAAAACTTCCTAAAGATTAACACGAATGCTTCTACATGAAAAAAACCTTGAACTTGTATTAATAATAACAAAACTTGCAAATAAAAAAGAAGAGATTTTTAATATAAAAACAAAACAAAAAACACATTTTCAACAAGTTGTTACATTTTATTTTGGAAAACAATTTTATTTTACTTTTAGAAAAACAGAAAACTTAAAAACAAAGTCTTTACAATTGTCTTTATCATCATCATGTGGTTTGAATATTTTAAATTTACAATCCAAATGATAATTCATTGGAATTTCATTTGAATAAGTTCAATTTTTAAATTTAAAAAAGAGAAAGAAAGAGAGAGAGCAATTTTCTTTAATTTCATGTACAATTACGATGTATCTAAAAATATATTTTTTTAAAAAACAAAATCATTTTACAGATATTATACAGCTGTTTATTTGAAAACAAAATTTTTATTTCAGCTGTCATAGTTTATTAATAGATCTTTTTTTTGTTGTTGATAATTTTAGGTGTCTGTCTGATATTTAGGTATCTGTCTGATGTTTAGGTATCTGTCTGATGTTTAGGTATCTGTTTAATGATCAAATTGAGCAAAAAAAATATTTTTTCAATTAAAAAATCTTTAAATCCAGCATTATTTTTTAATATAGATGATTATTTTATGATTAGGGGTTGAGAGCATACATGTGAAGCTAACTTCCAGACATGCATCAAAATCATTTATACTTACGTCAAATAATGCTTTGTAAAAAATTGTGATGATTGGAACCTGGAGCCAAACACCTGCCCCAAATGTGAGAGCAACATGTTAAAAAAAAAAATCTTAAATAAATTTATATTTATCAATAAATTTTAAAATTCAAACAATAATCTCTTAGCATTTAAAAATTCACCATATAATGTTTGAACCCCCTCAAATTTGAGAAGGTTACAAATTTTATAAAGCCATAATTTTTGAATGCTAAGAGATAATTTTATGAAATTTAAACTTTATCCATGAATATAAATTTATTTAATAGTAATAAAAAAAATAGTTTATATAAAAACAAAAACATAAAATATTTTAAAATATTTTACGTTTGAGACAGCTGTGACAAAAATTTTAGGGAATTTTTGTTCCCAGGCTCCAATCATCACAATTTTTAGCAAAGTATTCTTATTTGACATAATTATAAACATATAAATGTTTTTACATACATACATACATACATACATACATACATACATACATACATACATACATACATACATACATACATACATACATACATACATACATACATACATACATACATACATACATACATACATACATACATACATACAACATACATACATATGTATAATAAAATAACACTAGATTTAATAATTTTTTTGGTAAAAATTATTTTTAGGCATGCCACAAGACACTTAAACATCAAACAGGTCTATAATATAATCAAAAAAAAAGTTTTTCAAAAGTATGTCATGTTGGGTCTCTTATTAACTTAATCATATTTTATAATAAAAAAATATATATTTTTAATAATCTAAAATATTAATTTATTTATAAAATGATTAATATATATTGTAAAAGATTAATAAATTTTTACTTAATTTAGCTTCATTTGAGACCCAACATGATATACAATTTAACACTTAATCACTTTAAAAAGTTTTTTTAAAATAATATAAGGAATCTATTTGATGTTTGAGGGTACTTCTAAAAATATTTTTTTAGTCAAAATATTTTTAAATCTAGAGTTATTTTATTATATAGAACGCTTTTAGTAGGTATTAGAACTGTTTTAAGGATATATATATATATATATATATATATATATATATATATATATATATATATATATATATATATATATACATATATATATATATATGTATGTATATATATATATATATATATATATATATATATATATATATATATATATATATATATATATATATATATATATCAAGAATTGAATGCAATTTAAATTATTAATCATTTAAAAAATATGAATAATTAAAAAAACTTAATATATGAAATATGTATATGATATATAATGATTCAGTATAATGACTAATAAACATTATTAATATCACAATATCAATAAAAAAACATCAAACTAACCATTCAATAAAAAAAATCAAACTCATGTTTGCATCGCATTTAACTTCTGTTTCTTCTTACTTTAAAAACACTTATTGAGTTGCAGATAAAAAATTTGTTTACAATATTTATTTACTTATTCATTTCTCTTAAGGGAAAAGAAAATAAAATTTTAACTTTGTAATATGAACCCTTTTTCAACTTTAAATAAATTTTGTGGATCATATTTCAACAGTTATAAATTTGCCGCATATTTGATTCAACTCATTGAAATTCAGAATTTTTCTAAACCGCAATAGAAGTACTGTGTAATACACAACAAAATATGAAAAATTATTACAACATAATTACTATTATTATATTAAAAATAAAAATTTATTTATTAAACAAAAGCAATAGAACTTTATTGGGTATAAATTACTAATTACTAATTTTACTGGAAACTAATACTTAAAACTCTTTTACTCCATAAAGGCTTGAGCATTAAAAATGATGTTCTTCTGGAAAGATATTAAAATTGACATTTTTTAAAATTTACAACATGAGTTGTATGACCACTATTATTTATTTAAATTTACAACATGAGTTGTATGACCACTATTATTTATTTAAAATTACTAATTGAGTTGAAAAAATCTTTGTTTTACTGACTTACAAGTAGCATCAAAAGCAAACAACAAAACACAAAAAAATCTTTATATTAAATCATTTTTATTAAAAAACATAATTAAAACTGTGTGTATTTATAACTGCATATTAACAATTCAACATGGATTTGGGCAAAATAAAGGGTGACTAACAAACTTACTAGAAACTTTCAATATTATTACAACTGAAATTGAAAATGGTTATCTAATTGATATATTGTTCCTAGATTTTACAATAGCAATTGATAAGGTGCCCCACCATCAATATATATATATATATATATAAGATTTCAAACTATTAAATAAAAGGCAATGATTTAAATTGGATAAACATTTTTTAAAAACAGAAAACAAAGAGTGGTAATGGGTTAAGCTATATCAGATAGGTGTGAGATTTGTAGTGGTGTACCACAGGGTTCTGTATTAGGTTCTCTTCTCTTTCTGTTATATATCAATAATCTTATATATCAATAATTGCAAAACTATATTTGCAGATGATACTAAAATAATATCTGTTATAAAAGATAGCAATCTAATTAACATGCAAAATGACATTGTTTTGTTAACTGAATGGTCAAATGTATGGTCAATGGAATTTAACATAAGTAAATGCAGTGTTATGCACATCAGAAGAAAAAATATTAACTAAAACTACACAATGAAACAAGACAATCAAAGTTTTCTTCTAAAAATAACAACAAAAGAACTAGACTTAGATGTAATAGTTTCATCCAATATCAAATGAAATCATCAGGTTCAAGTAGCTACATCTAAAGCACAAAGAATCTTATGCTTAATCAGAAAAGACTTTACTTATCTTAAAACTGAAATGATATGTATTGTGTCCAAGTAATAAAAAAAATATTCATGACCTTTTTTTATTACTTGTACACTAGTATGGTGTTCAAGTAATAAAAAAGTAAGACAAGCAGCAAAATTAGCACATAAACTAAAACATATAATTTGTACTGAAAGATGGACAAAATAGAGCTTTTTAAAATAACAACTGGGATTGATAAGATATTGTGGTGCAAAGAGCATCATAAAACTTCTTTCCAAAGTCTAAGAGGTCATTCAATAAAATTTGAAATGGAATTTGCAAAAACGACCCTTAGACAAAAATTTTTTACAAACAGGGTGATACCTCATTGGAATGATTTACCTGAAAAAGTGGTACCTAAGAAAATGTAAATAAAATTTATCTGCAAAGACAGTAAAGTTTAAATCTAGACTAGATAAACATTTGTTAACAGCTGTTAAAGTATAAATTTTAAACTTTATGCTCAGCAACAATATCCGTTATAGCATTTTGTATTACTAATACTATTTGACAATGTACACACAAAGTACGGATGCTTTATGAATAGAACTCTTTAGCTTTGGAACCAAAAGTGTTGCTGAGATTTTTCAAAAGCTCTCATAGATTGTTGTTTAGTAAAATTCTAGGGCTAATTCTAGTGAATATAGTGAGTGATGTCTCAGCCTAATTTGTGCTTTCTAGTGTAAATAATATTGTCAAGTACACTCTTTGGATAGCAAAAAAGTTTATATATAAAAATTGATTACTGATTCAGAGTCGAATCATAAGGAGCTCAAAACATAGTTTTAAGCAATAACCAAGGTGTATCAGAGGACATCAGGTGACATCAGGTGGTACTGTAACAACTATCTAAGCTATTGCACTAACATTTTGACTGGCTTTTCAAACTTCTCTCCTTTTTTTAAAAGGTTAAAAAATTAAAATATTCAAAAGAATTAAATAAAAACTTGAACTATATAAATATATATGCACATAAATATAGGTGTAATATATATAAATATATTAAGTAGGAAAGAATATTTAAGAGTTTGTAATTAAAATTGCACACGCCCAATACATAAACATTGACAAATATGGCTGATTTATAACACCATTGGATTATGGGTTTAAATTTGTTGACAAGTTTATGATTCATTTAGAAAGCTATAGAGGAATAAAAACATTTGAATTGCAAAATCATGACAAAATCTATAAAATTAAAAAACTTGCATAACTAGTATATAAATAATGTCAATTAATAACATTAAGTATATAAAAATCAAATGAATGTCATATTTATATAATAACATTAGGTGTGTAAATATCAAAAGAATGTCATATTTATATAATAACACTGAATAAATAAATATCTAAATCCTAAAGATTAAACTTAAAAAAAAATTGAAATATACCAGATATAGCATTTGGTTTTACCTTTGATCTTTGAAGTGGTTTGAATAGAAAACAATAAAAACTTTTTTAAAAAATAATTTAAACACAAAAAAGCAACTTAATAAATATAGGCAATTTAATAGTTGTTTGTTTTATTAATATAACTGTTTTTAATTTTTTATTTTTTGCTGTTTTTATTATTTAATTTATTTTTTTTTATTTTTATTTTTTTCATTTTTTGTTTTATCTTATGATTTTTTTAGAGATTAGTGTAGCTCTAAAAAAAATCTGATGTAAAAAAACTGATCAACTGACATCGATCATTACATACATCAGCTGATGTATGTACTGATCAACTGACATCGATCATTGCATACATCAGCTATGTATATGCACCAACTAGCAAATAGATAAAACATGCAAGACGTGTACACACATCAGCTGAAAAATAGGTAGAAAATATAAGGAGTGTACATATATCAACAGAAAAATAGGTAGATTATGCAAGAAGTGTACATACATCTGCTGCAATAGGTAGAACTTGCATGAGGTATACATACATCAGCTAAAAAATAAATAGAACATGCAAGAAGTGTTCACATTAGCTGAAAAATAGTTATAACATAAAGGAATGTACATAAATTGACTGATAAATAGGTAGAACATGCAAGAAGTGACACTATCAAACAATCCAGACAATTTTTAACAAAACAAAGATAAGTAAAAACAAAAAAAAGTTTTTATATAATAAAAGACTTATGGGTAAGTACTATCATATCTAGATAGTACCTAAATCTAAACTCTCTGTCAATTTATGTACTGAAGCCTCCACAGATAGCTGTTTCATTAATGATATTTCATGTAAGGCTAACTATGCAGTGATATTTTATTAATGTGTTCCTAAAATAATATATAATATATAATAAAAAATACTGTGTTTAGTTCCATATAATATCAAAAAAAACTCTTCAAAAGTATCACATGTTGGGTCTTAAAAAAAGTAAATTTCTATAAAAAAAAATTATTGTTATACAGGTTATAGTTCTAGATTTTATTGCATAAAAATTAACTTTTACATGGTTTTTATTATACAATTATTATTTTTCAGATAGTGCATCCTCTAAAACTTTTTACAATGCATTGATGAACATTTCAGGGAAGATAACAAGTCTTCCATTTTTTATCATTTAATAAACAACATTGAGTGTCAAAGGATTGTTTTGTTATTTTGGATTCTGCTCAAAGCGAGTATAATTTAAAAATTAAGGAAAACTTACATAGCTGCAATTTAAATAAACAAGTTAAACAATTCTTGAACTATTTTAAAATTTTAATTATAATGATATTATTTATATTAATATATATATATATATATATATATATATATATATATATATATATATATATATATATATATATATATATATATATATATATATACATATACATTTATATATATATATATATATATATATATATATATATATATATATATATATATATATACATATACATATATATAAATATATATATAGGTATATATATATATATATATATATATATATATATATATATATATATATATATATATATATATATATATATATATATATATATAAAAGGTGACTTACATGTTGACCATCTGCTTCGTCATTTTCATATTTTTGTTTAATCAAAACCTCATACAAACTTGTTATATACATCAGTATACATTTTTTGTCTACTATTTCGGAAAGTACATCTGAAAAATAAAAATGTCATATCCTTTATTTGTAAATATTATATCATTTCTTGTATAGAATAATGTTGTTTATTGAATTTATGCTCACAGTAACATATAGATAGAACTAAGCACTGGGGTTAGCGCATTAGCGGTTAGTAAAAAAGGGATTTTTTCGATTATGGAATAAAAAGCGATAAAAAATCACATTGAATCGCGCATGATTTTTTAGATAAAAATTGACACACAATATATCGCCCAGCGTTTGCTCTATAATAATTGCTTCACAATTTATTGCATCAGCAACTTTTAAAAAAATTTTGCAATTTGTTGGATTTAAGACAAATAGTTTTTGCAATTAGTCTGCTGTAATGCAGATAATTGATCGTTAATAGAAAGAGTTAATGGGAATATTCCTATTTGCAATAACTATATTGAATTTATTAAAACCAATATGCAATTGTTAAATTTTTATTAGTTTTAAAGGATATAAAAGCAGGATACACTAAGAAACTTAATTAAAATATATTTGTTAAGTTTATCTCAAATAGATTATTAAAAATTCAAAATGGTGAACCAAATCTTTCAACACTTCACAAAAAATCTTCAATCAATTGAAGGTACCAATGGTAGAAAAGATTTTTATGCAATGCGTATAGAGTGCTCCAGAGAACTGAAAATGTGCCAAAGCAGTATCAAAAAAAGAGCGATTTTATGAAAAAAATTACAGTATGTTGTGTGAATAACGATAAAAATGTTATTTAATCATAATTGTTGCAATTTTTGAGCTCGTAAATCAAAAAAAGTCACATTTCAATTAGTTAGCGGCTAATCGTAATAAAAAAAAATTGCTTCACAATTATCTAACTAAATACCCCAATCAAAAATAATCGAATTCATTTATAAAAATTGCCATCGAAATTTACAGCATAATCACATTGCGGTAACGCCGGTGCTTAGATAGAACATATATATATTTTTGTATTGTGTATTTATATACAATATAAATAGATTTGCAGTCCTCGGAATTAGGGTTGGGATTCAGTAATGCCTCCCTAACTGCTGACCATAAAGTGTTTGAGGTCGGCAAATTATAGTCAACCTCAATTCTATGTTTTATGGTAACCCCTTTATGTCAGAATTATTTGCCAACCTGATGCTAACCTCTAACAGTTTAAGGTCAACAATTTATTTCAGAGATCATTTTTCCTAATTTAGAAGACTGGATATGGGTGTATAAATAATACACATATATGTGTGTGTGTATATATATATATATATATATATACATATATATATATATATATATATATATATATATATATATATATATATATATATATATATATATATAAATGTAGTATTAAAGACACACTGGTGACATCATATTAAAATAGAAAACTGCAGGGGGTTCAGCACATACATTGACTGATTTAGGGAAAACATATAAGCGAGTTTTTTTTGTTTTTTGTTAATATGGTTGATATTACATTGTTACATATAAATACAATAAATATAAACCATCAACATCTAGAAGTTGAGGAACACCAAGTTCTTGTGCTTTCTGAAAAGCATGCTGAAGATTTTCTTTAGGAGATTGCCCCAATAATTTTTGATAATCAAATAAATCTGGTCTGCAAAAAAAAAAAAAAAAGAAACAAATTACTTTTTTAAACTGTACCATTATTACATATATATATATATATATATATATATATATATATATACATACATATATATATATATATATATATATATATATATATATATATATATATATATATATATATATATATGTATATATATATATATATATATATATATATATATATATATATATATATATATATATATATATATATATATATATATATATATATGTATGTATATATATATATATATATATATTAATTATTCACCTCCCCAAGGCTGAGAAGGCCACTACAGTCAAGGAGGTTACTTTTATGGTTACAACCCTCTCTCAACTCTATAACTCTGAAACAAGAACCTCAATGAACAAAGCTGCAGCACAGAGAAACAAGTTGGGTGCGGTACTACCAGAGATGTGGTGGGGATCGAATTTATAACTTCTTGCTTATGAGGAGAGCGCTCTACCACCACACCACTACCATTAAACTAAACTAAAAATGTGCTGACTCAAATGTGTCAATTAGCCAACTATAGTCCTTGAAAAACGGATAATATATATAAATATAATATATATATATATATATATATATATATATATATATATATATATATATATATATATATATATATATATATATATATATATATATATATATATATATATATATATATATATATATATATATAGTAGAAAATATAACTACGTGATTTTCACAACTTTAAGTTTCATGCTGTTGCAATCATCAGGTGAAATACAAATATAGTTTGTTCGTTTAAAAAATCATATACAATTGAAACTATACAGAAAAAACCTATACGGAAAGAACTTTTTTTTATTGTTGCGATCGCGTGTATTTAATCTTAAGGTTTGTGGTTGCTCAATAGTAATTTATTTTCGTGACGACACTTGGAGATTAACTCTGTTTTTTTAATGAGTAGCTCTTCAGCATTTTTATAAAGCAAAATAATCAGTTTTTCATATAAACATAGTAAACATTTTTTTGTTTCATTGTTGTAGGCGGGGGCTTTTATTAGGATAGACCAAGTTAATTCTGGTGTTTCTTTCAGTTTTTCTTTAGTTTCCCATATATGTTTTGAGAGAGTGGTTGCATTTGAAAGTTTCTTATTTGAAAATGTTTGCATACCTCTTTTTCCACACTCCTTCTGATAAACCAATGTATGCTTTGCTGGGAGTGTTTGGCGAAGATTTTATACATTTGTAAATGATGTTTGTCGCTCTCCAATTTTTATTCAGCGGGCAGATTTCTTTTTGCTTGCAATTGCAAGGGAGATTTTCAGTGGTGTTAATTAAACTTATTTTTTTGTTGTGGCTTTTTATAATTTTTGAAATGTTGTTTGAGCAGCTGTAGCTAACTTTTGTAGTGTTTTGATTGAATAGTTTATGTAATGGATTTGAAGGTGGGAAATGTTTATCTATTAATTGTAAAAAGATTTGGCCAACATTGGTAAAGACGCTACAGATGCTCAAGCAACATTTCAAAAATTATAAAAAGCCACAACAAAAACAATAAATTTAATTAACACCACTGAAAATCTCCCTTGCAATTGCAAGCAAAAAGAAATCTGCCCGCTGAATAAAAATTGTAGAGCGACAAACATCATTTACAAATGTATAACATCTTTGCCAAACACTCCCAGCAAAGCATACATTGGTTTATCAGAAGAAGTGTGGAAAAAGAGGTATGCAAACCACAAGCAATCATTTTCAAATAAGAAACTTTTAAATGCAACCACTCTCTCAAAACATATATGGGAAACTAGAGAAAAACTGAAAGAAACACCAGAATTAACTAGGTCTATCCTGAAAAAAGCCCCTGTCTACAACAATGAAACAAAAAAATGTTTACTATGTTTATATGAAAAACTGATTATTTTGTATTATAAAAATACTGAAGAGCTACTAAATAAAAAAACAGAGTTAATCTCCAAGTGTCGTCACGAAAATAAATTTCTATTGAGCAACCACAAACCTGAAGACTAAATACAAGCGATCATAACAATAAAAAAAAGTTTTTTCCGTATAGGTTTTTTCTGTATAGTTTCAATTGTATATAATTTTTTAAACGAACAAACTATATTTGTATTTCACCTGATGATTGCAACAGCATGAAACTTAAAGTTGTGAAAATCACGTAGTTTTATTTTCTACTATATATATATTATAGCTCTGACTTAGTTTATCGAGCACTTTCTTGATAGTATATGCACAAAATAGCATCACTACATATATATATATATATATATATATATATATATATATATATATATATATATATATATATATGTATATATATATATATATATATATATATATATATATATATATATATATATATATATATATATATATATATATATATATATATATATATATATATATATATATATATATATATATATATATATATATATATATATATATATATAAACAATGATGAAAATTTATAGATGTTTGTTATCAAAAGTAAATTTTCCGTTTAGATCTATGGATATGAATCAGTATGATTCTTTATATGGATACTGAACCATATGGATGTTTATAAAACAGATTTCTGTAAAATTGTGTTAATTATTAATAGTTTATTCAGAACATATTATAGCTCAAACCAATTAATAAACATCAAAGGATGTGGCCTCTTATTCATGTTTCAACTAACAAATTACTGTAAATTAAGAGCAGAGTGAGTAACAAATTTTTGAAATTGTTGAAAAGTTGCAAATTGTTGTCTCTTAGTAAAATAATTTTACTTTTTTTATGATGATTTTTTGAGATTCCTTCTTAAGGGTCCAACATTTTTTACAGGTCCTAATTTAAATTTTTTTTTTTTCTAAATTCAACCTGGGACTCAAAAAAAGTGCAATAAAACACTTGTTTTGAAATTAATAATTTCATTTTAAATAAAATTTATATATATATTTCTAAATAACTGTGTTCTTAAAAAAAATTGGTTTTCACATATTTATATATAAAATGAGCACACAGTTCTGCTTTTTTTGAGATTTTATTTATTCAAAAATAATAATAAAGTTAATAGAGTCGGGCCTTAAATCTTAAAACAAAAAAACAAAAAAAAAACAGAACAAAAAAAAAACAAAAAAAATTTGAGTTGCAAGTTAGTTTTGAGAGGTGTGAAAGATGACAATTTGAACTTAATATATTTAGTTATATTTTTTTAAATAACAAATGTTGAATATAATAACAAAGTTAATGTATTTCTTAAAAATAATTTGCAGAGATTTGCATGCTTTAGAATTCTTTTTTGTTTTCTAGCTCATGCATTTTCTACTACATCCCTGGTAGTATTGTGTTCAACTTGTTTTCTACTGCATCCCTTGTAGTACTGCGTTCAACTTGTTTTCTACTACATCCCTGATAGTACTGCATTCAACTTGTTTCTCTGTGCAGTGGCCTTGTTTCTCAAGGTTCATGTTTCAGAGTTATAAAGTTGAGAGGTTTTTAACCACAATTAAAGTAGCCTCCTCAACTGTAGTGGCTTTCATGACCTTGGGGAGGTGAATAAATATTAAAATATTTACAAACTTTATAAATAAAACTACATATTTTTTACAACTATAATTCCATACATTTTTACAACTATAACTCCATACTAAATGCAATCATCAGGCAATACATATGTTTTTTCCTTGTGGAAAAATGATTCTGTACAATCTAAATTTATGCTGGACAAACCAAAAGATTAGATTTTTCTAATGCTTATTATTCCACGAGAAATATTTTTTACCTGATGATTGTATTTAGCACAAAACGTATAGTTGTAAAAAATATGCAAATACAGTTCTGTTTAATACAAGTTCTGTTTATACTTTATTAACTGTATTCAATTATAAACATTTAGCTTCAAATTAAACAATCAATAATTTTTTATTTTTCTATTTTGAGAAGAAATGGTTTATTTAAAGAAAAGGTTAATTTTTCTGTTGTTGGAAGAAATTTAATGAAAGGGTGTTGTTTTTTTTCTGCTGGGTGGGAGCAGAGTGCATAACGTAGGGTATTTCTGTGTTTTTTATTTTGCTTATAAACCTTTTAAAATTAAAATTTTAAAAGGTTTATAAGCATATATAAAACTTAAAAGAACTAAGTTTTTTACAATCAAGTAAAAAAAATTTTTAAGGTAAAAAAGTCTGAATAAAGTTCAGCAAAATAATTTTAAATCCAGTTTTTCAATATAACAAGATTATGCATTTTAGGTCTAACAGGCTAATGGGTAATTGTAACTTGCATTAATTACTTTTAGCTTTCTAAAATTGCTTATGATGATTTTGAATTAAAAAGCATTTAGACTAAAACATGTCTAAATGCTTTTTTATCTTACAAAAATCAATCCTTACTTAAATGGAGTATGGATAGGATAGATAGAAGGATAGGATAGATAGGAAGGAAGGATAGATAGAAGGAAGATCTCATAAATCTTGGTAATAATAATAGTTAATATTTTCTTGTTTTTGAGTATTTTGATTAATATTATTTGTATTATGATTTCTTTTACGAAATTTATTATTTTTTTAACTCCATTTTAAAACTCTTCTTTATGAAGAAGAGAGTAATAATACCTTAACTGTAATGATGAATTTTAATTAATTAATTTTACCATAATTAATATCTATCCCAGCGGGATAGCCTAATGTCCGTTTTGTCGTTGTGGCGTACATTGGAAAAAGTCGGGGCTCACCAGCCACAAAGAATAAATTTTTTGTTTATGCGACACAATGATCGCAACAAGTGACCAACGGAGCCGTCCAGTTTCGTAGACCTGAGAGATGTGATAATAAAAACAGTTAGAAGATGGTGTCATTGAATAAAAAATAAAAATCATAAGAAAATATAAAATGAGTGATAAGACTTTTGTGAAGGTAAAGAACGAAGTAAATGCTCGGGGGGCAGGGAGAGAACAAACTAACACTCGAATCACTCTGTATGTAGATCATATGTAACAAAGAACAAATATTTGATATACTGATTTTGAAGACTGTTGATGTCTACAGGTGTGATGGTGTAGTGCATTAGTACGTACCGTTTGTCGTCTAGTATGGTCTCATTATGTTTCCGTTCACTTTCAAATCGGGTGAATAGAAAGCTAAACACACTCACTTCTTGCGCTTATGGGCTAGCACATCAGAGCCAGATGTAAGACCTACAGAATGGATTTCAATTGATCGAATGCACACATTAGTCACCGTAGGCCACAAGCCATCACTCTTAACCAAAAGAGCTACTGCCCCGTGCTGGTGTGGAATGATGTGCAATGAAGTGAGATTTCAGATCCGAGCACATAGTCAGCGAGCGCTGATTCGATTGCATTCCAACTGAATGTGTGCGTGAGTGTCAGCGTAGTCATTAGGTTATTGATCGCCGTAACCACATCCAGCGGGATAGCCTAATGTCCGTTTTGTCGTTGTGACGTACATTGGAAAAAGTCGGGGCTCACCAGCCACAAAGAATAAATTTTTTGCTTATGCGACACAATAATTGCAAAAAGTGACCAACGGAGCCGTCCAGTTATTACAGTTTTCTATTCTCCTATTTAGAAAAAAACATTGGTCATCTTAGAGACCTTAACTGTAATGATACTGTATTCTCCTATTTAGAAAAAAACATTGGTCATCTTAGAGACCTAACTGTAATGATACTGTATTTTCCTATTTAGAAAAAAACATTGGTCATCTTATTATAAAAAGAACATTGGTCATCTTGATATAAATAATAATTAAAAACAAAAAAAAACTTTTAATTAACTTCTAATTGAACCTGTCATTTCGAAAAAGGACACAAGTCTAAAACTTTTAACAGTTGGTATATAAATTTAAATAAAGGCTTCTATATGATTTATGTTATTTTTATAAAAAATAAAACATGCATAAGTTATATGCGTTCTTTATTTATATATTCTTATGTTTAATTTCTCTTTCAGCATAGATGTTAATATAAAGCATTTTTTTGGTGATTTTTAAAAGTTTTAATAAATGGACTTATGTTCTTTTCCAAATGACTGATTCAATTAAACTATTTAACGTTTAAAAAATAAAACTGCTAATGCTATATAAAAAATACACATAAAGAAATTATAAAATAAATTTTTAAAACATTTCAAATAAAAAAGTTATTTATACTTGATTGTAAAACCAATAGTATGAAAATTTTATTAACTCTTTGAAACCAGGTAAAATACTATTTTTTTAGAAAAAAATAAAAATAAAACAAATTTAATTCATTAAAACCTTCCAGCAATCCATATATATGAAAAGAATGTTAATAATTGTTTATATAAAAAAACGAAAACTATTTAATTTCATTATGTAAAATTTTAAAATAGTTAAAAAGTTACTCCAAAAATAAAAATCAGAACCTTAAAGAAAAAATTTAGTTATACAACAAAAGGCAAAAATACTTTTGTGTAAGGTTTTGAGTATTTAGACATCTTAATATTTCTTCAAACATAATGTTGTCACAAAATTTTAAACATTAGGTATAATTACATATAATTATGTGCAATCCAAAATATGCAATAAATTTTGCTATTATAAACCTGATTAGATAGAAGAAGATAAAACAAAGATAACACATTTTTTTGTGAAAAAAGAATTACTTTTACTTCACAAAATTTATAAATTATATGAACAATTATTATTAAATTCTAAAACTAATAATAAAAGGACTAATTTAACGAAGAAAGAAGTAAATAAAAACAAACACAAACTAAAATTAAAACACTTGATTTAGCAAAAACAGAAATACCACTACAACAAAAAATTAATCTTGGGCTAAAATGTGTTCCTAATCCAAAATTTTAAGATCAGTGGTAGTCAGATAGTCAAGGATAAGTAAAAATAATTCCTTCCAAAGGTGGTAACAGTAGTAAAGGCAGTTAAGTAAGTTTTAAATCAAAAATAAAATAAAACTTAACATTGAACAAGATTTGAGGTATGAATGAAAAAAAAAAGTGTTTTATGAGTTTATGAATGAATAAAAGTAAAAACAATAAAATAAAAAAGTAAAAATAAACAAAAGTATTTACAATATATATAATAAAATATTTACAATTTGGTGAATGATTTGTAGACAGCTTTTTGTAAATAAGTCATTTTCATATTAAAAAAATAAAAAAAAACATTAAAAAAAAAAAAACATTGTTCATTTTTTCAGTAAAAATGACCAATAGTGGCTTGCCCCTTTTATGTGTATATATATATATATATATATATATATATATATATATATATATATATATATATATATATATATATATATATATATATATATATATATATATATATATATATATATATATATATATATACAACATAATAATATTAAAAGTAAACATTAAGGTAAATTTAGGATGAATAGATAAAAACTACACAGATGAAAAATAGGAAAACAAATGTTTCCAGTGTAATATAATATGTGGTTAGAAAACATAGTGATAAATTTAAATAAAAAAAAATTAAAATAAATTTTAAAATCAAAAGAATGTATAGTAATGAAAAAAATATTTTCCTTTATCATAATAAATATCTTTCATTTGTAGATACTGTCTTGCCCTGTACTGTCTGCCCATCGAATAATTTATGTACACTTCCTTCTAGTTATTTATATACCATTCAATGAAATTTTTTGGTTAACTTTTTAGTTATTTTTTATAAACATAAAAAAGAGTTACCTGTGAAAGTTTAACAAAGCATTAAATGCCAATCCATCTTTCCATGAAGTCGTAAAATTTTGGATATTTACTTCCTTGTACCTATAAAGAATAGAGAAAATAATTTTTATAACCAAAGTATTGTCCTCACAATTAAAATTAATTTTAAACTAAAGCAAAAAAAACACATATACAAATATTAACACTACATAAATTAAAATGGCATAAAATGAATATTTAATATCATCAATTAAATTTAAAACCTTTTAAAAATAAAATTTTTTATGAGAGCTTAACTTTTTTCGAACTATCATTGTTCATCATGGTGACAGTTGACAGGTGAAAGGTCACCAGGTGACAATCAACATGTAAAATGTCATTAGGCAACAACTGTTAATATTAACATGTGAAAGGTCACCAGGTAACAGGTTAACATGTGACAAATAGTAATATTGTTTTCACCTTATTTCAATAATACAACATTACCTTTGTGTACATTGTCGACACCATAAAAGAAGTACTCTTTCATTTTCATTAGATTCTTTCCCTTGATGCATATATTTTTTCCTCTAAGTTGAAATAAAAACAGAAAATATAATATTATAAATTAATATGTTAATTAAATATGTGGTAATGCTGTGCTTATTTTTATTTCTTGTGAATTAGAAATTAAAAAAAACAAAAAAAAACAACCTCAACTGCAGCTCAGGGAAAGTTTTTGTAAAAAATATTTTATTGTAAATATAAATGAATAAATCAGACTATCAATATGTTTATCAAACAAAAATCTTTACATAAAAAAACTGTAACCAAAAAAAAGTATTTTAATTTAATAGGAAATCTATTTTAAAAGGAAAAAAGTACATAAAACTTAAAGAAACTTTTTATAGATTTTTCTTTAAGATCATGTTACAATTAATTTTTTGTTCATTGAATCAATAAAATTCCATTAGACTTATCATAAGCTAAATATTGCTTAAAAAAACACAACTTTTATGAATCTAATAAAACACTAAAATGATTTTCTAAACAAAATACATTTAACTAAAAAATTAAACTATGTAAAAAAAGCTCAGTTTAAAAAAAAATTAAGATATCATGAAGAAAAAGTTAATTGGGCACTTGACATACTTAAAAAACTTTATTATTGCCAGCATTTAATTTTTAATCTTTTTTTATCACATTTGCAACATTTTAATCTGCTTATGTTTGAAGGCATTACAAAGATTTCCTTAAAATGACATCCAGAGGTATAAACAATGAATAGAATCAAACAATAACAATTACAAGATTAAGCGCCATAAAACTTCTAGCAAAAAAAAAAAAACATTTAAATATCTGTTTATTAAGTAACCAACACAAAATAAATAACACTCCTTCAATAATACTAATAAAGAAGATTTAGTTTACCACTGTCTTTACTTTATTTCAACTTTTTTTTTTGAAAACCCAATTAAAAAATACAAGGCAAAAAAAAATCTAAAACATTTTAGAATGGAATTTTTAAAACCCAAAATTTAAAGCACAATAAAGATTACATTTGATAATTTTATTTTTATGTTTATTGTAAGAACAATTGATGAATAAAAGGTATTACAAGAAAACGCACAATAAATTGATATTTAAAAATAAAATCAAACAACATTCTAATGTCTACACTCACCAATAGAAACTTAGAAATTGTATTGTTCTGTAAAGTACACAAGCTTTATATAATTATTATCTAATCATCCCATTTATAAATAAACATTGTGGCAAGATATGAAGTGTTATTATTTACATAGGTTAATATTTCATTAAAATCTGTGTATGTTAGAAATTTATAAAATAAATTTCTAACATACACAGATATATAAAATAAATACTCTAAAATAACAGATAAAAATGTTATTGTGAGGAATTTTATATTTATATCATGATTATTATAAGTAATGACAGTATTTAAAAACACATATTAGTATATCACATTTGCTAGCATATGCATAACACAAATTGTGTAAGAATTTTTATTTTTATAAAGCTCACTGCTTTTTTTTACAGTATTTCATTGTTAGTTGAACTTTTATTCTACTCGTAAAAGTTACTCATTTTTTAAAAGAATGGCAAACTCACAATTTTTAGTCCTAACAAAAACTCTCACTTGAATACTTTTTTTTTTGTCTTCATAAAAAATGATTTTTGTGTTATTACAATAGCTCATTGTTTTTATCATGTTTCTTATAAAAGTTGATTGTAGCTTTTTTTTTTTTTGTTCTTATAAATTTTAATAGCATTTATTTTTTGTTTACTGTTAAATGCTTGTAGATACTATTAGTTATTGACTTAAAACCAAATATTGACTAATACCTACTAGATATTGTTGCTTGTAGAGATACTTGCTCTACAACAGTGCTTGTAGAGATTCCTAAATTGTTAATTTTTTAAAATTTAAAAAAGTATTGATTGTTAAATGAAAAATAACAATGTAACATTTTAATCATTTTTGATTATAAATTTTTTTTTTTTAATGAGTTTTACTTACTCTGTAGTATTCCACTATCATCCATAGAAATCCAATAGTTGATTCAATTTTTCCATTAACAATATCTGTTGGTGTAATATCTAAATATTTCACCTAATAAAACCATAATTGAACCATAATTAAACCATAATTGTAAATATACTTGTAATTACAAAGGGTGCTAAATAAAATACTTTAAAAAGTTATTACAAATTCAAAAAACTACACAAAAATATAACTAAAAACCTACATAAATTATAATTAAACAAAACATACATGTCTTCTTAAACTTTCTATGGCTTTATTTACATTAAAAATCTTGTGAATTCTTGTTGATCCTTTTTCTTGAGTCTAAAATTTAATAACATTTAATAATATTTAATAACATGGCTAAAAATTCAAAAAATTCTATCTAATTTAAAAAAACGGTAGGAAAAAGAACAAATAAAACTAAAAAAAAAAACTTTATATCTAGAAAGGAAGTTCTTTATATCTAGAACCTACATAATTCTTGGTTGATATATATCCCCTCAGTTGATGTGTGTAAAGCCCCTACAGATAGTTTTTTCATATATATATATATATATATATATATATATATATATATATATATATATATATATATATATATATATATATATATATATATATATATATATATATATATATATATATATATATATATATATATATATATATATATATATAAATATATATATATATATATATATATATATATATATATATATATATATATATATATATATATATATATATATATATATATGTATATATATATATATATATATATATATATATATATATATATATATATATATATATGGATATAGATAAATATATATATACTATTTTATATGAAAATTTCATACTTAGTCTAAAATTTTCTTCTTAATCTTTAAAGACAACTAAATATTACCTGGTTAAAAAATTTTAAAGATCAAATGTGTTTGCTTGTGATAAATTTTTTCTTTCAAAATAAATTTTTAGCAAAGTTCATTAATACAATCTAACTGTTTCTAGTAGTGTAAGCTAATTTGCAGTATGTAAACTGGCAAAAGTGATGAAACAAAAAATGGGTATTAACATGTCGAGACACTAGTTTGAGAAAAGCTAAAGGGTAACATAACATTAAGAAAACTCAGAAAGAGTCTGAACGGATGATAAAAAAACAAAACTAAAAGAATTGTGATTGGATGAAAGGATTGTGAAAGGATTGTGATAAAATGTTTTGAAAAAAAAAAATTGTTTTTTTTTCTTGAGCATTGCTGAATTTTTTTTATTTTTATTAAATTTCTGCAATTATTTTTTACTTATATTTTGTAATGTTCTTTATTAGGTTTATTAAATTTTTAGTTACTTTTTATGTTATATTTGTTATTACTTTTGTCAATCTTGTGAAAATAAGTTTAAAATATGCAAATAAGAATCTTTAAACTTTAATTTTGTAATTAAAACTTACAAGTATTTCTTCTGTTACTGCTCCCACCAATTTTAAAAAAACTAGGCCGTCTTGAAAATCTACCAATGCATCATGTATTTGCAAACTTTTATCATTCTGATAGAAAGAAACAATTAAAAATTACCTATTCTTGCTAGACAAATTTAAAATTATGAAACAAATTATAAACATAAAACCCTACATTGCTGATGATATAGTTAACCCATTTTACGAGGACTTTTCTTTGAGTTGCAACATTTTCACCTAATGCACAATAAAATATACAAACATAAACATAAATAAAAATAAAATACACTAATATAACTTTTATGGAGATATAAATATTAATAATGTTTATCTATTTACAAGGGTAAGAAAATATTGCAAACTGTTAAAATAATTTTATATTATAATTTTATAACACACACCAGTCATTCTTATATCTTTAGGGGCATCAAAATATCTTGTTTATTCTAGATACATTTACAATGCACAAGTTTTTTAAAACGAGGTGAATTAAAAGGTGCTAAAATTTAAATTTTTTTCAAAAGGGAATGACCTTAAAAAAAATTAAACTGTTGTTTTAGCAGTGATATAAGATTTGTAAAATTTTGTTTGTTTTAATTATTTTTGTGGAAGAAATTAATTAAAAGTATAAGTATTCTGTCAAAATTATGTTTGAAACTTTACTAAAAAATTTTTTTTAATTTAATTATAAAATTTCGCCAAGAAATACTGTTTACATTTAACAACAACGTTTTGAAAAGTTTTGTTTAAAAAGATCAATAAAAAAAGTAGTTTAACAAAAAAAAATTTTATCTTCAATTTTGATTTCTTTTCTTTTTGTTTATTTTCTAAAATTTGCTAATTTTTGTGAAAGGTTATTATTAAATTGTTCACTTCACAACATTTGTGAGCGAAAACCAGTTGATACAATGTGTAAAATTTGTTGATACAATGTGTAAAATTGATACATGTGTAAAATTTGTGAGCGTTAAACATTTTTTTATACTGCATTTAAAAAATTCAATAAACAACTTGTTTTTTTTTAAATTAAATAAGGTTTATTTAATTTACGTCTTTATTACCACAGACAAAATTCATTTGTTTATTTAATAATCAAATGGTTTTTGTTGTTGGTATCAGGGACGTAAGTTATAAGGGGAGTGGGACGAAGAGAAATGCCAGAAACACCTTCTCTCCTACCTTCGCACACAAACTTAATAGATCCCAGAGGCTTAGCTAAGCTACCCCAAACTCTCCAATTAGGGAGAGGAGGAGGGCATGCCAATTTCGTGAGATTGTTTGCAAATTTAGGGACCCTTTTGGAAATTTTTAAATTTCCAAAAAATAAAAGCTCCTTAAAAGGAGCTTTTTTTTTGTTTGTTTCAATAATGCCCCGTGGAAAATATTTTAAGAAATTGCGGCACTAATAAGAGGTTTTGGAGGGAGAGTCTCCGACCTACTAGTCACGGCACGATCCCAGTAGCGGATCTCCCATTAGGCTGAGTAGGCTGAAGCCTAGGGGCCTCAAGAGAAAAAAGGCCCTAGATATTGCAACAACAAACTACAAAATTATGTCGGTCCGCGCTGCTCTAAGGAATAAGATAATAAAAAATAATTTAAATTAATCACCACTGAAAATTTTGAAAAGAAAAAACGTACTTTATAAATAGCTCCAAGCAGTGCAACTTGTGTGCTATCTCATCAAAGAGAGATGCGGAAAAAAACGAGGCAAAAATATTAATAAGGCTATAAGAGCTTAGTTGATTTTGTATTATTATTCGGAAATATATTTAAATGCAAAATACTATTTAACGCTAAAATTCACTTTTAAGCGATCTAAGCATATATATGCTAAGATCGTTTAAAAGTGAAGAAAAAATTTGTTTGCAAGAAAAAATTTGTTTGCAAAAGAATGGATATATATCCATATTTTTTGCAAACAAATTTTTTCTTGTATTTCTTTGAGAATTATTTTAAAGGTTTGGGGTTTATAAATATAATTAAAAATGTCCGGAAAGAAATATTTAAGTGGTAGTCAAAAACAAAAAATAAAAGAACATAAGGTTAAAACATTATCAAAATTTCCAAAATTAGCCAGCTTTTTCCAATCCAATGCTATCAAAGAAGGTGAATAACTCAAAAAAATGACATATTCAGAAGAGGTAAATGTAACTGATGATGTAGAACTAATTGCAGAGCATACTGCTGAGGGAAACGTAGATACCGAATGCTGAGCCAAAAATCTTGTTCAGAACAGAGACAAGGGCTGCATGCAAGAAGAGATTAAATTTTTTTTAGAAATTACTAATTTTATTGATGTAAGAGTAAACTATAGAGATATTGGCCAAAGTTAATTTTTATTTGAATTTTTTCATGCTATATTTATTATTTTCATGCTAGATATTATTGGCTTTGCAAAGGAACAGCCACAAATAGACTTAAGACTAATCCAAAATAGCGTCCTTTATTGACAAACATTTTTGCGTACCGAAGTACTACTCAAGCACTGAGTTTGGCAGTGGCAGGATTTGAAGTCGTATCGTTCAACAGTCTGGATTTTAACTTTTTGTTTGACGCTCTAACCAACTGAGCTATCCAGCCACAATTATATATGAAGACTTATCTTATCTATATACACAAATATCTCTTCATATACACAAAGTTGTATATGAAGAGATAGTCCAGCTCATGGGAAAAAAAGTCTTAAAACGAATTATTGATCAGATAAACAATCTCGATACAAAATACTATACCCTTATTGAAGGTTCCACGCCAGACATTGCTTATACGGAAAAATATTTGAACGATTACAACCTTTCTACAGATCAAAAATCGCACCAACAAGACAGTACTTACAAAAGTATTTCTGTTTTTAAATAATGCATATCTTCCTATTGAAAACATCCGTGAGCAATCATACGATAACGAGTCAAATATGTGTAGAAAATATACAAGCTTCAAAAATCATTAGGGAATTTTCCCCTTTTGTTGCGCATTCTTTAAATTTGGTTGATGTAGAGGCAGAGCAATTTAATAAATTTAACAAAATATAGCAAACACCTGTTTAAGATATATGTGAAGAATACACTTTACTCCATTCATTGGAGTTATATAAAAAATCTTAACTCTGTGAAGATTCCGAGCCAAAATTAAATGACTTTGAGAACAAAGCAGCCGAAATGAGTCCTGAAGTCGAAGAAAGTCAAAGGGATACGCCTAAAAGAGTAAGAACAAGAATATATACAGATAGAGAAAAAAGAATATTTTTACTGGAAAGGATAAGTTTTGTATAGAGGTATTTAATGTTTTGTTAGATAAAATCGGGGGTTAAAATTAAAAAAGAAGTGGTGTATATAAGGATATTGGAAATAAATTCAAATTTTTGATGAATCTGGGCAAAAGAGGTTCAGTTATTGAAATTAAATCAATGGATTCCGTTATGTCATTGTATAAAAATAATATCGGAGAAGAACTATTTGGTGAATGCAGTATTATTTAGATGTGGTATGCTTTAAACAAAATAGTTATATTACTGCTTTCAAAATGTTGACAATAATTTTAGAAAAAAATCTTATTTCCGAATCTTTATACAAGTCTTAAAACTTACCTAAAAATACCTACAACGAATTGCAAAGCAGAACAATCTTCTTCAAAAATGGCTTTTATAAAAAATAATTATTGATCAATAATGATGGATGAAAGTTTAAATAACCTCTCAATTATGTCAATGTAATATGATATCACGAGATCCATTTCCTATAATGAAGCAATTTGCAAATTTGTATCAGTTAAGTGCAGAAGAGAACAATTTTTTGAACTTGTTATTGTTAAATTTACATATAATTATGGTAAAATCTTTATGTAATTGTTAATTTTTTAGTTTTAATAGAATTTGATTTTTAAGTCCGTTGTTTCATTCGTTCACAAAAACATCAGGCTGTTATATATGTTTAGAAAATTTAGGTTTTTGGGTGCTAAGGTAGTGCCTCAAAAATTCAATTAACCTAGCGCCCCAAAAAATTATGATCCTATGCACGATCCTATGTATTATTTTGCTTATGTATATATATATATATATATATATATATATATATATATATATATATATATATATATATATATATATATATATATATATACATATACATATACATATACATATACATATACATATACATATATGTATATATCCTCAAAAATCTATAAAAACTGCCGACTTCTTTCTAATAATAAAAAAGCTCTTTTTTGAAATGTGTTAAAAAGTTATTCCAACAAAAAACTGACTATAAGTTGAAAATAAAATATAGAATAATATAAGTGGGGTTCACACACCCCTTCCCCAAATATATATATATATATATATATATATATATATATATATATATATATATATATATATATATATATATATATATATATATATATATATATATATATATATATATATATATATATTAACATGCTTAAATTTTTTGTGAAATGTGAAAATTAACTTGAATTATTTTGCACAAATTGGGGATTCCTTGATCGTATTCGTATTTAAATGAATATTAAAAATTATTAATCCCAAACGATTATTGTAATTAAAACATAAACAGCTTAAATGAATAAAAATGTTCCTTAAAAAAAGTAGTAAAAAGTACTGAAGACGTGATCACGTAGAGATTAGTAGTTATTTTTACCATAAAATTATTATTGAATGCATTTTTTTGATTTTTATTTTTAAACCGTACAACAACAACACAAAACAACCTTTAAAATATACATTTTAAGATTTAAAATATTTTTAAATTTGTTTTTTCATGAGTTGGCATAAATCTCTAAGTTATTTTTTAGAATTCTTTTAAAAAGTGTATATCATCGATATTTTAATTATTTTATTTCTCCCATTGCCTTAAAATTTTTTTTACACTTTCGTTAACTGCGGCAAAATCAAAGTAGTTACTAATTAATCAAGAAAGGCTAACCAGTACGGCTATTTTTTTTTAATTGTATGCGAACTTTGTTAAAATCTATGAACTTTGTTAAAATCTATGAACTGTTTAAAATAAACATTAAGTTTATTGCAGATGATCTTTTATTTATATCGACATATAAGCAACACATTTTAAAGCATATTGTTGAAAAGATTTCTAGTATATACATTCTCGTTTAGTTGATTCTTGTAAGTTTTGTAACGAAACTTACGTACTCAAAAAATAAAAATTGAAAATAATTCAATTAATTACAATAAGCTAATAATTTTATAATTTTAATATAATTAGTTTATGAAGGAAGTTTATGTCTCCTCCTCTTTACCAATGTCGTTTATTTAGCTAGAGCCGGCATCACATGAGATTAATTGATTTTGATAAAAGCCATGAAAAAAATTAAAAGTAGCCGTGGTGCAGCAGTTAGGGTTCTGGCTCAGAACCAAAAGGTTCAAGGTTCGGTTGGCATATTCTATATTCCAGAGAACTCGCTGTATATTCTATATTTCATATGAAATTCTATGCAGTATAGAATATGCAAACAAAAATTACTATAATTAAAAGAATTGTTTTTTTGTTTTTTTTTTATTTGTTTATTTCACCGTTTAATTATATTAACAGTTACAAAGTAAATTAAAACGGGACGGAACAAGAAAAAAAAGCACTGAGCCCCATTCGTACGTATTTATTAAAAACGCAGTATCCTTTTATCTATTTAAAAATATAACTCATTAAAAAAGAGTTTCATTTAAGTAAACAGTAAAATTCAAGTAAAGAAAAACAAATAAATAAAATATAGTATTATTTGATTGAAAATCAAAGAAGTTAAATTAAGATTAATAAAAAGCAAAACAACTTAATTGTAATGTAACAAAATAATTAATTGAAATTATGGGCACGTTTTGTGACACAATTGTTATTGATTATTTTCATATAATTGAATTTATAAAAACGAATTTAAAATCGGAGATAGGGTAGAGCGGGGCATATCGGGACAATGGAGCATAACGGGACAGTTATACCTAAAACCTTATATCTCAGCTAAAAAAATTTTTTTTTCAAAACTTTTTTAAATTATTGTGCTCAACTATTGCAAAAAAAAAATTAAGTTTAGAAGTACCGACATGCATTAAAACTACAAAAATGTATATCAGTAAGTTTGCGAAAAACAACATTTGCATATTTTCTTAAGCGATATGTATTTTCTTAAGCGATATGTATTTATATCGCTTAAGAAAATATCTAAAAAAAAATAATCTTTAGTCGATGTACAACGACTAAGGCCGCCAACAACGACCAAGGCCGCCAACAACGACCAAGGCCGCCGAGAGCTGTAACTGTGACAAAGACAAATGATTTATCTTGAACTAATTCTAATTTGCTTTATTTATAAAAAGTTTATATTTTTCAGACAGTATTTTTTATCCTCTTTTAGAATCTAGTAAAAAAAAAATATCTGGAATTTAACTTTTTGAATATTTTTAATTTCAGTAAAATGACTTTTGTGGGGCATATCGGGACAACAAGTTATAATTGACTATAGTCAATTATTTATTAATTACAACCATTAATTAAACCATTAATTAAAAAAACCGTTAATTACAACTATTTTGTTTACAGTTTGATGATTTTATTTTTAATCTAAATTAATTATTTTTATTATTTAGGAAAGCAATATTAGTAATAAATTCAAAGAAATTGTTATTTCTATAACTTAACTTCGATTATTAATGGCGCTTAATGTAAACAACGATGGTAAGAAATTATAAAAGAAAGATAAATCATCCGAAATGGGATAAAATGCAGTTTTAGTTGTGAATAAAAAGGAACTTAGAATTCAAAAAGCTGCTGATACATAAAGCATATTTAAATTTACTCTACATTGGCATATTGCTATTAAGCCAGCTCATCAAAAATGTTACCAAATAGTTTCAGGATATTTCTTGTGTGATATATGTGATCCATAATATTTTTTGTTTAATTTTAAATTTAGTAGTAGTACCAATTTAATAATTACCAGTTACCAATTTAATAATTACCAGTTACCAATTTAAATAACTACCAGTTACCAATTTAATAATTACCAGTTACCAATTTAATAATATTTACTAGTTTTGCTCTACTTAAATTTTAGAACAATTTCTTAAGTTTTTTTGTTTTTGTATTTAATAATAAAACACAAAAAGTTTTTTTTATTTTAGTTGCTATCCCTTTTTTGTGGTGTACGGGTGCGCGGCGCGTATTTTGTATAGATGTATTACTTTTTTGAGACTTTAATGTCTGAACATTTTAAATGATAAAATGCCTTTTTTTTATCACTTTTAAAGCTTTTAGTTTACAAATAACTGCTGCTTTTTGTACCGCTTTGTCCCACCCATTTGCAAAATGTAGAAACTTTACTTGTCTAGAGTTTCGTTACCGTGGTTGTCATAACTTATTTTAAGATTTTTTTTTTTTTTTGTTTTCTTATATCAATGAATTTAAGGAAACTTAAATTAAAAAACAAACTAAAAAACAGTGTTAACACAGATTAGTTTATCCACAATTAGCATTTGTTTTTTAAGTGTTCCTATATGTCCCGCTCTACCCTATAAGCTGCACCGTGATAGAAAATCAATCAAAAGACTAAAAAAATTTATCGGAAGAACCATATTTGTAGTATTTTAAAAATCTTTTTATTTAAAGTCAAAAAAAAGCTTTTTAACTGATGTATACTGTCTGAGCATTAGGAGCATGCTCAGACTAAACTTAATTGATAATTATTTTAATTTAAACGCAAGTGTTGGTTTAGCAACGATTAATTAGTATTGACTGTCGTATATTTACGAAACACATTAAATGCACCTGCCGAACGTGTTCGTTGCTTGTACACACCTAAAAGAAAAACAAGCTGGCATGTTTCAAGTTCTAGGAAATTGCTTGGATGCTATTTATACAAAAAACTTAACTTTTTAACAAAGCGCCAAAACAATATTTTAAAATATCAATCTATGAGATTAAAGTTTAAAAAGCTTTAACGCAAGATAATTTGTTGAAAACAACAACGTTGTAGATGTTTATATTATTGCCTATAACAACAAGAACGCTGTAATCACAATAAGATAACTCAACAACTATCATCCACACTTCAAACGTCTAATTAAGACATTATTTAAACATTATAATTGATTACAATTGATATCCATTATCTTTTTTTTTTTTTTTTTTAATTTAGGTGTCCCAAAAAGGCCTAGCGATCTTGTCACCTAGCACCGCGGAAGTGCATTTAACCAAAAAGTTCACGCCTCCTTTCCTACCGTGACACGAAATATGTCCAAAGCTCGTATCGAACCTGGATCTCCTGCAGAACCTGGATCTCCGCAGTGGTTAGAGCGCTTATAAAGCAAGCGCTCTAACCACTGCGCCACGGCCGCACTAAGAGATAAAAATCTTTCGGTTGTTATCGGAAAAAAATGAAATCATTTGTGCTCTATTAAGATTCACATTGTAAGTAAATAATGTTCATTTTAAAAATGCTGAACATTATTACCGCATAAATGTGCTTTTTTAATGGCTGATTCATTTTTTTTTTTTTTGGCTTAGAGTGTCGTTTTAGTGTAAATTAAATGAAATCAATAAATTTCGCAATAAATTTCGCTAACTCGCATATAGTAAAATTAGATTATTATTATTATTGTAAAAGAATCAAAAAATCTTTTATTCCAAACTCAACTTTTTTTTCATAAGAATCTAACTAAGAAATATAGTTCTTGTGAAAACAGAAAGTAAAAGTAAATTTAATGAGTGATAAGAACTCTTGGCTTTTTAGTTTTCAAATCGATCATCATTTCCTACTAACGCGTTTCTTCAGACAATATGCGTAATTTAATTATTTGTACTTCAGCTAAAGTAAAATTTCTTATTCAGCAGAATTTTGATACTCTTTTTACTTAGTCTTCTCAAATATCTTATCTCCTTAAATATAATCTCAAATATCTCCTTAAATATTACCATATCTTCTCAAATATCACTTTAACTTTTCAAATATAATTATATTTTCTCAAAAATAATCTTTTCCCAACGATTAATAAAGCAACAAGTAAACGCAAAACAACATTTTTGGTAATATAAAACTAATAATTTTCATAATAATTGTTTTAAAACAGGTGTAATCAAAACCTAAAGAATAAATCATAAGCATTATTTACCTTATGTAATTGTAATATAAGAATCCAATCAACGTAATCATTTAATAAAAATAAAAATTGAAAAAGGGATTTTGAAATTCACGTTCAACAAATGGTTAGGAGCAAAGGTCGGCACTCTCAATCCTTCAAGGGATCCCAAAGAGCCGAGAAAAGATGTGTTCATATCTTAAATAAACTTTAGAAAATAAGAGAAAAATTAAGAACAATTAAAAACTCCAATTTTAAATGTTATTAAATCATTACGTTAATTAGAATCTTATATTACAACCACGTAAGGGGATTAATGCTTATGATTTTTTTTGAAGCCAATTTTGAAAAAAAATTTTGACTTATTTTACAACGACTGATCTACAGTGCCGACGACACTAAAATGGAGGAGGAAGAAGGGTTGAAGCCAAGCAACACATGCATCCCCCTACTTTTTTTTTCAAAGAAAATTTTAGATATAGAAGATCTTTTTTTTTTACAAATTTACGATTGAAGCCCCCTTTGAAACCCGTGTCGTCGGCCATGATCTAGGTCAACCTAACTTAAACCTCCGTGAACTATATAATGCTTTTAATAGTCTAAAAAACACAAACAGGTATAGACTAAATTAATATTGATGTAATTAAATCGGTCTTTGGTATTATCAAATCCATTATTTTACATTTTTAATCTTTAAATTTAAACCAGCTTGTATTTTGGATAAATTAAAAATTACTAAAACTACACAAAAAAGTCTGGTGATGAGACTAATATTTCTAACTACAGACTTGCCCTCTTACTCAAGACTAATCAATGCATTATGTATAACTATTTTTTTAAACATTTCACTGAAATCATTATGTTCTCAGTTAAATGTTTATAAAGTCTGTTTTAAATAATATATATTATTAAGGTTTACCCTGAAAAGAACTATTTTAATGACCAAATGGATTTAAAAGTGGTTGTTATATTTATTCAAAGCTTTTGATTTTTTTAATTTCTTATTGATTTTTTCTATTTTAATAAAAATTTCTTACTGATATTTTTTTTTGCCAAAATATCCGAAATATAGACTATACTTCAGATAATCAAAAAGACAAACATAATAAAAGTAAAAAGTGCAAATTATTACCAAAAAGTATTAATGAGATAAATAATCATAATATATCAAATGTATATTTTAAAACATTTTTTTTTGCCTGGAATAAAAATTAATTTTTTACAGTTTACTTTTACTAATTTTTTTATTTTCAAAATAATTATCTAGCATAATAATTTCGCAAAGCAAAATAATAATTTGCAATAACATATTTTCTAAATTAAAATTTTTTTTTTTTTGCAATTAAGTAACTTACAACTTAACAAGCAGAAAACTAAAATAAAAGAAACTTGACTTTTAATTTGTTGACGCTACTTTATTACTTATAACTTAAGTGTCAATACAGTAGAAAAAACAATTCTTCAAAAACTATAACTTCTGATGAAATGAAAATATTTTGTAATTTATATATATATATATATATATATATAT